ATACAATGATAATAAATGTGTGCAATTTTCTGTGTTGAATGTTTCTTTCAATGTTATGGTTAGCAGTTATTTTGAATGAAATAAGTAAAATATTCAAGCTCCGTCTTTTATTTATTTTTTATTTATGGGCAAATATCCCCTATTATAGTGTATATACGTCTCTAATGAGTGACATATATCATTAGCTGAGGTTGTGCTGATTTCTGGGATGTGTAAAACTTGATTTTACTGCAAAGAAATTACAATTTATTAGGCAAAACACTCAAATATACAAAAACGGAATTGTCCTATGTGGGTCTCAGAGGGTTAAGTGTATAAAATCAAGAATTAATTCAAAATTAATGGATATTTCATGAATAGTATTATTTGTCACCACTTAATTCTCTTCTCCTATGACTCCAACATGAGCTCCTATGACTCCAACATGAGCTCAAAGAAATGTAATTTCTGTCTAAAACTGAAGTTACTACTGACTTTCTCCTTTGTCGGGCAGCAGAAGAAGCCCACGCAGACTGTAACAACACTGTGTGTGTGTGTGTGTGTGTGTGTGTGTGTGTGTGTGTGTACACAAGGAGATACACAGTTCTGTCTGCTGGATGTTCAGTATTGATCTGCTGTCTCAACAAGGGGAAATGATTGATAGAACAAAATGTGGTTCGATCCCAGAGCATGGTGGGTAAATTAAGACCTAAAATAATAATAACACACAGACTGAAATAAATATCACTTCATAAGAAACAGCCCCTTATTTTGCTGCAGGAGTGGCAGATCAATATGTATCAATAAGTACACTTTACAGCTTCATTACATTTAACATTTCTGTAACAGAGAATGTGCGTTCTGCTCTGTAGCAGTTAACATTTGTCTGGAGAAAACAAAACAACACAACACCCATCATAATCCCTCTACCTACTGTATGACACTATCTCCAGACAAAAACACACATGCACCAGGAAGAATGAGAGGAATGCAATGTGAAATGGGCCAGAACGTTACCTGGTAACACAAAATATAAAACAAACAACCAGTGGAAAGGAGAGACACTGTAGGATTTGCAATGGGGGGGACAGGTGCTCAAATATATAATATATAAATATACATCTACATTCAGTAGGGGTGTATAATAGTGATATACTTAAGTTTTGCGTTATTGTGTTGAATTTTAACCCATAATTATATCTGTGTGTGGTTCACTGTGTGTTTACGTTTTTTAACTAATTAATGACTGTTTTTAAATGCCTTTGTCTGAATGTCTTTCATTTTTGTAAAGCACCTTGAATTGCCTTGTGTTGAAAGGTGCTATATAAATAAACTTGCCTTGCCTAAATGTGTTAACCTTAGGAATCTTGCAACACATTTTAATTCCTCCAGTCTTTAGTGTAGGACTGTCAGTTCTGTAAGAACATTACATCATGAAAAATACATTTTAGTGCAGTACATTTCAACGCCGCTGTTATCCAGACATAATTTCAGCTGGAAACCTGTCATCCTTTTTTATCACAATTATTTCATTTGACCTCATGTCTCTCATTTCTTCCTGGATTGTGAATTAGTGTTTACAAAGAGGAGTTTATCCAATTTGTTCTATTGATTGAATCATCACGAGAATGCTATAGTAAGTTTGAGGTACTAACAGTAAAAAGTAAAAACACCATATATTATGTACAGTAAAACTAATTAAACTGTGTCTTTGGTTCAGTCAGTGCAAGATGCATAATGCAATTAAAATGTTTGTTAAAATGGTCAGCATTTTTTGACATTGTGTGGTGGTAATTAAATATTGTATGCTTCTGTATGCTGGAATAATGTAGTCATTTTTAGGTTTATTTAGCATATTTATGTAGTTTTTATCTGTTAAACTCTAAATGTGTTCCTGTGCTGGAGGCATTAAGGCGTTGTTTTTATAAAGTGTAGATCAGGTTTCAAATCCTCCTTTCTCATTTCATCTCACTGCTGGCAGATGTTCTGAGTCAGAGCCTTTTGTTTACTTGGGTCCAAATTGACTTAATTACTTTTCCTACCAAACCTGATTTCATTCTTCAAAATATATCGTAAATAGTTTATCCAATTTTCTTTTACGCCAGTTGTGTGTTCATGTTTTTCCGTATATATCAACAATTCCCAATAAAAGTACATAATATCTAAAGGCATAAACAGAGTGTGAATAAGATGATTGTCTTTTTTGATTTATGAAAAAAAGTATATCAACTGAATGCAATAATGTAATCACACAAATGTTGGACTTAGGACAAATGTAACATTTATTAAGGCTACACTTTTTACTAAAACGTTTTTAGTCTGGCTCAATTCTCTGTTGCTTTATCATACAATTGCCTATTTCAAATATAAGTTGTATAGAAATAACGTGTGAAACTGTTATTTTGTGCTTTTTTCCCACAATTTTCAGACTGGTATTTTACACAATATTTTTGAAAGTTGCTTCCTCCTCAATGATATATCAAAGAAATTACCCAGTTTTCTATAATTCTTGATACAACTTTAACATATTTGGAATTTGTGAATTTTTCCATTCATATGCTTTAATATTTCTATTTTTTTTAGATGTTATACTCACTGCTAAATATGTTGCAGATTGCAATCCCATCTTTAAGATATAGTGAATAACTGACTTAGCTTAGCTTGTATTTTTTTTCTCCAAGTCTCATCTAAACTCATGCAACTTTTGCAGATCTAAACACTTTTTTATTAAAAAGCTTAGTATTTTTCAATGTTAAGTGGCTTTCTTGCCAATTTTAAAAAATACATTTAACGTTGATGCTTATTTTTCGTAATTTTTCAACAAGGATAACTGTCCATCAATAACAAAGTCTAGCTTCTTTTGTAAGATTGTACATAGATATTCCCAAAAAGGCACATTTGACACATTTTACAAATATGCTGCAATATGCATTATTCTCTTTGATATATAAAATAACTGAACATGGTTTCTATTAACTTAAAACAAACAGTATGTTTCTTCTGTTTCGGTCCTAATGTGTAGAGGCTTGTGTTCAGGTGAAGAATGCAAGGCTTGTCTGAACGGGACCTGGGGAGTGTTTTTACGCCTCGGGCCGCCTCCTAAGGAATACTCTGTTGTTTTCTTTCTCCTGCCCTCCTCATCCTAGCCTAACAAGAAGTATTCAGATCATTTACTTAAGTTATAGTACTACTTCACTGTAAAAAATACTCTAGTACAGGGAAAGTCCTGCATTGCAATTTTTTCTCAAGTAATTCGAAAATAATAGTTTTATTAAACATAAAAGTACCCAACGCAGAAAAATCTAAACAAATCGAAAAAAAACTTTTGAAATGATTCAAAATAAATTGGAAAATGAGTTCAGTTTTTATAGATTTCGATAAATGATCTCTATCTGATAGTTAATGAATTGTCAAAGCTGTTATTGTGTTGGCTAATTACATTTATAATAAAAAAGTCTTATTTTGGAAATTAACTGAATCTCTGAGTGAGTAGTGAATAAACTGAACTGGGATTATAAGGCTGTGATCAAATCCTTTACTAAAAGAGTCAAATGTGCGCTTAATACCTCAGTAAATGTTCTTATATCACCTGCCACCTCCCTCTGTTCTCGCTCTGTCACTATCTTTATCTCCCCCTCCCTCTCTCGCTGTGTGTGATTCTGGTTTTAATACTCTACCATAATCTTTCACACACCGGGGTGCATGTCACCTTTGGGAGATTGTTTGTCCGGCCGTCGGTGTCGCAGGAAGAGCGATATAAAAACAAAGAGCCGTATCTCCTCCGCTCATCCCTGCTGTTTTATGGGCTCCTCTTTTATTGCTTCATGGCGGTGCATCGCTGTCCTTTTTCCTGCAGGAACAGAAACACTTAACCTCAGGTCCAAGAAAGCAGCGTTACTGAGTTATCTGGATGATAACTTGACTGAGAATCCCCCCAAATCTGCAGCATTGTGTAAAGACTTGGCCCTGTTTGTATCTAGATATATCAATAAGCTTAGGAAAGAGTAAATAGGTATATTCTATAGCTTGCTTTAGTAATGGCAGAAGGTTTAAACACAAGATACATTTCCAGTTTTCTACATTGTTGCTAGCTTTGACTGGTGCTTTATTTATTATGTCATCTTGTTGCGTCCTCTTCTTCCCCAAAATTGTCCCTATGAACATATCCTAATAATCGCAGAATAGTAGTTAATGGAAAAAAGGCATACATTTGCATTTTCTTTTCTATTTTCTCTGGAAATTCAAATGTGCGATACATTTGAAAGGAAAAATGGTTATAGAAATGAGCCATAATTAATGTTTTTGTGCTTCGTGTCATCATTTTGTCATTCTACATATTTTACTGGTGTAAGAGTATAACGGCAGATTAAGAGACACCTGATGGGAGCTTTGGATCAACAGTCCCCTCACAATTATCCTCTTCCAGCAAACTGCTACATGACTGAGGGGGAAGAGAGAAGGAGTCATTGATATAAAACTGGAAAACACAAAGATGAGAGACAGACAGAAAGATGTAAAAAAGTGGCTTTCCGTACTCTGAGTCGGCTTCAGCCTGTCAGAAACATTCAGTGTCTGATGTCACACTAAGAAACCTGTGTGTGAGTGACCCAGAGTGTGAAATATCATGGCTTCTAATCCTAACACACACTTGCACAAAAACGCGCACAAACACACAGTGGCACCACTTTGCTTCTTCCAACCCCCCTCACTAACAACCTGCCAGCCCTGTTGCTAGGTTACTATAATGAGAGTGTGTGTGTGTGTGATGGGGTGTCAGTGAGGTGGATACATTTCCACTTTCTTGCTTTAACAGCTGTGATAGTGACTGTAGTTTGGAGGAGGAGAAGTTAGACGTCTGTGACCATGAGGTTATCAGATATTTGATATTTCTCAAGTGAAATGTGCGGATGTTTTCAGTCTAAAATCGTTCAAGTGAACATTCTGCAAAAGTAAACATTAAATTAATCTACTTTTATTTTATCAGCATATTTCCGACTATGCTCTTTTCTTTGTGTCTTTCAGGTCGTCATGTCAAAACAGGTCCGCTTGCTGCCATAAAAAGTCATGGACGTCACAGGAGTAAGTAACACACACACACCGCAAACACACACACAACTTGTATTATATCCGTACATGGCCCACACGTGCTTTGGCATTTGTCCTCACTTAACTCTCCTTGAAGGTACTCCCTTGTTACCAGGTTTCTAATATATCAATTCAGGTTACACATAATTTGTAATAAGCATTGTGTGTGTGTGTGTGTGTGTGTGTGTGTTGTGTGTGTGTGTGTGTGTGTGTGTGTGTGTGTGTGTGTGTGTGTGTGTGTGTGTGTGTGTGTGTGTGTGTGTGTGTGATGTGTGTGTGTGTGTGGTGTGTGTGTGTGTGTGTTGTGTGTGTGTGTGTGTGTGTGTGTGTGTTGTGTGTGTGTGTGTTGGTGTGTGTGTGTGTTTTATAGGATGAGGAGGAGGAGATTAAAGCGGAGATCAACATGTTAAAGAAGTACAGCCACCACAGGAACATCGCCACCTACTATGGAGCGTTCGTCAAGAAAAACCCTCCAGGGATGGATGACCAGCTTTGGGTACGTAGGTGCATGTGTCTGACAATTAAAAATAGCAATAAAAAACACAATTTTTCACTTTAAAAAAAGTTTGTATATCTTGATTTAAAAAGTAAATGTTATTTTTTGCTCGAGAACAATTGCAAACATAAGGGAACCCAAAATGGTTCCATGAGGAACACTTGATTTGAATGTAAAGTTGATATTTTTATTTCATAAATAATTATAAAATTAGTAAACTAGTGTAAATAAAAAAGAAATATTGATGAATAGATCAATCTTACACAAAACAGGACAAAATGTTTAAAAAGATGACAACAAAGAGGCTTTTGTTTTTAAATCTGCAGAAACTATTATAATAATCTGCTAATTAACATTGTTGTTTTTGTAGCTTGTGATGGAGTTCTGTGGCGCTGGTTCAATTACGGATTTGATCAAAAACACCAAAGGGAACTCTTTGAAGGAAGAGTGGATTGCCTACGTCTGCAGAGAGATCCTCAGGGTGAGAACTGACATTTAAAATAATTTTTTTGTTGCTGTTATCTTAAAGTGGACCTATCATGCTATATTTGAAAAATATATTGTAGGGCCATACCTATATAAAACATGTCTCTGAAGTTTTTTGTTCAAAATACCAAACAGATCATGCATTTTAGCCATGCCTCATTTCGCTCTATTTGCTCTTTTCCAGCCCTGTTTTTGCAAGGGCTGATTCTGTGGCAAATTAGCTGCAGCTGACCACGCCCCCTGCAGGAGAGGGGAGCGTGCTCTGAGATCAGCTGCTGGGCTCTCAGAAGAGGGAGAGGAAAAGAGAGGCTCCGTCCTCCGTGTATTATTCTTATATTATTATTAGGGCTGTCAAGTTAACGCGTTAATAAAAATTAACGCCACTAATTATTTTAACGCGATTAACGCATGTGTATTTTTTTTCCTCGGCCGCCCCGTAGTTTCAGAGCGCATCGAGTTTAAAATACCATCTACAAGCTGATGCTGACAGCCCCGCTCCTGCCGCCCGCTTGTGGCAGACCACACTTCCACGCTCACCGGCAGGCACCGACTGGCCATCGGGAGGACCGGGAGGGTGTGTGTATGTGTGGCCCGAGCGAGCGAGAGAGAGACCTTACGTGCATTGTTGTTGTTAGCATCTGGTGCTAGCTAGCTGCGCTAACGGATATAAGGAGCTGTTTAAATGAAAACAGAGGAGCGACATTTCGCCACAACTGCGCCGAGCACTTGACTTTATGCAGGAAGCCAGACAGTGGGACATTGTACGAAAAGTCAGCACACTCAGCACGGATAGTGCGCAACATGATTGCAGCGTCCAAGCAGCTCCCGTTCGAGCATATGCCTTGAGTTACACATAGCTCCAACGATCCATCACACACACACACACACACACACACACACACACACACACACACACACACACACACACACACACACACACATTTGTATTGTATGAGAGAGGTTCCAGGTTGAATTGAGGCGAATATTTGTAATGTCCAGAGGTTGTTTTGTTTAATATTCATGAGAATTTGAATTTGTCATTTTTCAAATGATAATAAACATTAGCATAAAGCATATTTGTCCACTCATATGTTGATAAGAGTATTAAAAACTTGAAAAATATTCCTCTAAGGTACATTTAGAACAGATAAAACATTTGCGATTAATTTGCGATTAATCACGATTAACTATTTTAATCGACTGACAGCCCTAATTATTATATAGATTCGTTATTCGTTTATTTTAAAGCTCAATAAATAACAAAGAAGACCTTTGACCGGCAGTTTTCTAATTTTGTCCGGAAGATTTAAACTTTAAATGTTGACCGGCGAAAAAAAATCTAACTGAAACTCTGCCGCACGGTCCCCTCGTTCCTTGGAAGAGGCAGAGAGGTGGGTGTTTTTCATCTGCTGGTGGACTACCGGACAGAATTACAGCAGCAGGAGCAAACGCTTGCCTTGAGGAGGGAGAAAAAGAGCCAGAGCGTCCACAGCGGAGAATGAACAGAAGGGCAACCATGGCAACCATGCGCTGGAAGTCTTCTTCGCTGCTTTTGTGGCAGACTACAGCGCCACTTACAGGCCTGGCATATGTACTACAGTGTCTCCAGAGCTTTCGAGCGGTCTCTCATTCCCCTGATAGGTGGAGAGTTGCCCATATAGGCGGAGCACCCCTTTTCTGACGTCAGAAAAATTCAAATCTGTATCAGCTCTGTTGCAACCCCGTTTTTAGAGATTTGGGTATGGAGGAAAAGCGAGAGGGTTGTGTTTTCTGACACTTGGTGAGTTCCCTGACACACCGGGGACACATATTCATGTATAAAAGACATACAAAATTGAATTTTGCATGATAGGTCCCCTTTAAGAAGTAAATGTTTAGTGGATCTATTTTGGTTGGGAAATATTAAAATATTTTCTTTTGGTGAAAAATAATTACAAGGAGCCCAAGATGCCCAACATCTTACCTTGCAACAATCGATTAAATAAAATAACTAGTGAACTTTAACTTCTATTTTGTTGTAGAGACATTTGATTTTTATTGTTTTTAAATTAGATTAATCTGCTTCATAACTTGAATATGGCTACTTTCTTTAGCTCAAATTTAAAGAACATGAAGCACACAGTACGGTCAAACATGATGATTAAACTCTGTGTTCTTCTGATACAAAGAATTTATTAATTTGTGTTTCTGTCTCCAGGGTCTGACCCACCTCCACCAGCACAAGGTCATCCACAGAGATATCAAAGGACAGAATGTGCTACTGACAGAAAACGCAGAGGTTAAACTAGGTGAGAAGAGACACACCTACCTACCTACCTACCTACCTACCTACCTACCTACCTACCTACCTACCTACCTACCTACCTACCTACCTACCTACCTACCTACCTACCTACCTACCTACCTACCTACCTACCTACACACACACACACACACACACACACACACACACACACACACACACACACACACACACACACACACACACACACACACACACAGTTTGTGGTTCAAAAAAGGCATTTTAGCAATTCACACTGTTTCTGTGTGTCTGTGTGTTTGTAGTGGACTTTGGTGTAAGTGCTCAGCTGGATCGCACGGTGGGTCGGAGGAATACATTTATTGGAACGCCATACTGGATGGCGCCTGAGGTCATTGCCTGTGACGAGAACCCTGAGGCCACATATGACTTCAAGGTAAAATTGATTTGTTTCACCTTTACCACCTATAACATTAAAGTGATGTCCACGTAAATAAATCAGATGTTGTATATGTAGAGGATGTAATTTTAAAAAAAATGTATGGTTGGTGGAACTATTTTGGTGCCAAACAATTGAAATCATAAGGGAACCCAGGATTGTTCCCCTCCGTTTTGTGCTTACATTTTAAGGGAATGGCTTTTCTAGTTAAAATTGAAGGACTATTATTTATTTATTTTTTATCTTTTATTTATTTCATTCTGAAACGGAGCAACTGTAATAAAGGCCAACCCCCCCCCGAGTTAACAAATATTCTGATCCTGACAATTAAAAACGGATAATATTAACAATAATATAATGTAATGTCATCAGTAAGATCTACACTAGCAATGGTAGGTGGAGGATTTCTGTGTCTGTATTTGTATCACTTAACAGGAACACTGACCAGCGGATTTAAATGATGATGTGTGAAGTGGGTAACAGGTTTTTAGGATGTGAAAGTTTTCAGTTTTCTCTCTCTCTCTGCAGAGTGATCTGTGGTCTCTCGGTATCACAGCTATAGAGATGGCGGAGGGAGCACCGCGTAAGTGTGAAACTCACCAAACTATTACCACAGAGCACAGTGTGTCCTGTTGTTAAAAGTCTAAATCTACCTCTTTTTTTATCCTCTTCTTCCTCTCATTTCTTGTTCTTTTGTTTCCTGTTGTTTCCTGTCTTCTTTTCTCATCTCCTCATTTTTGTTTCCTTTATTACCTTTTTTCTTCATGTCTTTTCTTTTTCCGTTTCCATTCATTTTATCCTTCCCTTTCCTCTCTTCTTGCCTAATTTGTATCTGTTCTTATGTCCTTTCCTGTCTTTCCTTTCCTCCTTTCCTTTTCTCTTACCCTATTTTGTCTCCTATCCTGTCCTTTTGTCCTAATTCTTCCCCTTAATTTTCTTTCATTTTCTCGTCCTTTTTTTTTTTACTGACTCTTCTTCTCTTCCTCAGCTCTGTGCGACATGCATCCAATGAGAGCGCTCTTCCTCATCCCCCGAAATCCTGCCCCCAGACTCAAGTCTAAGAAGTGGTGAGTCACTAAAACACACACACACACACACACACACACACACACACACACATTGCACCTTCTATCAGTTGATTGAAAAACATATTTGATTTAATTGCCTGTACAAGTAAAATTACCTGCTAATCAAACATTTTATTCCATCCATTTATATGCTGTTAAAGGTGGGGTATGTAAGTTTGAGAAACCGGCTCGAGATACACTTTTTGTTATATTCCATGGAATGCTCTTAACATCCCGATAGCAATGAATATCTTAAAAAAATGTCATCTGTGGAAGCCGTAATACTGTCAAAAGTACAACCAATCCGTTTAGCCGGGCCGGCTAAACGGATTGGATTGCCGTCCTGTCTGTCAGCCTTCCATCTCGTGCACGCACAAATGTATCTCGTGCCGTCAATGGGCGTGCATTGCAGCAGCAGGCGGCCACTTTCACCAGTCTGCTGACGTCATGTGCGCGTTCATGTGTGTTGGAGGAGGTGCTCTGTAAGGAAGTCTGAAGGAAGGGGCGGATTCTTTTCGGCTGTGTACTTTCAAATGTTCGTGCACTCGAGCCGGTTTCTGAAACTTACCTACCCCACCTTTAATTAATAATAATAATTTAAAAAATGATTTAATATTTGATATAATCTCTATGTGTGTTCAGGTCGAAGAAGTTCCAGTCCTTTATCGACAGCTGCCTGATAAAGAGCCACAGTCAGAGGCCAAGCACGGAGCAGCTGCTCAAACACCCGTTCATCCGAGAGCTGCCCAACGAGAGGCAGGTCCGCATCCAACTGAAGGACCACATCGACCGCACCAAGAAGAGGAGGGGGGAGAGAGGTGAGGAGGCTGCACTCACTCCACTGTCTCATCCTCACTGCTGCTGCAGGACATGAGCATGCTAACCTGAACTGTGTGTTTTTCCTGCAGATGAGACAGAGTACGAGTACAGTGGGAGTGAAGAGGAGGATGAAGAGAGGGACGTCGGAGAGCCTAGGTACTAACACTAAGTAACACTACTCCTCAAAGTACTATTCCTACCTCTTGTTCTACTACTATCAAGTTCTTTGGGTATGGGCTTTTTCTAATGAGGATAGAGAACAGAGAATATTTCATGCCATATAAACAATTTTTTTCCGTATTTAAAACTCAAATTCAAAATAAAACATACAGTGGGGCAAACAAGTATTTAGTCAGCCACCAATTGTGCAAGTTCTCCCACTTAAAAAGATGAGAGAGGCCTGTAATTTTCATCCTAGGTACACTTCAACTATGAGAGACAGAATGGGGGGAAATAATCCAGGAAATCACATTGTAGGATTTTTAATGAATTAATTGGTAAATTCCTCGCTAAAATAAGTATTTGGTCACCTACAAACAAACAAGATTTCTGGCTCTCACAGACCTGTAACTTCTTCTTTAAGAGCCTCCTCTGTCCTCCACTCGTTAACTGTATTAATGGCACCTGTTTGAACTCGTTATCAGTATAAAAGACACCTGTCCACAACCTCAAACAGTCACACTCCAAACTCCACTATGGCCAAGACCAAAGAGCTGTCAAAGGACACCAGAAACAAAATTGTAGACCTGCACCAGGCTGGGAAGACTGAATCTGCAATAGGTAAGCAGCTTGGTGTGAAGAAATCAACTGTGGGAGCAATTATTATAAAATGGAAGACATACAAGACCACTGATAATCTCCCTCGATCTGGGGCTCCACGCAAGATCTCACCCCGTGGGGTCAAAATGATCACAAGAACGGTGAGCAAAAATCCCAGAACCACACAGGGGGACCTAGTCAATGACCTGCAGAGAGCTGGGACCAAAGTAACAAAGGCTACCATCAGTAACACACTACGCCGCCAGGGACTCAAATCCTGCAGTGCCAGACGTGTCCCCCTGCTTAAGCCAGTACATGTCCAGGCCAGTCTGAAGTTTGCTAGAGAGCATTTAGATGATCCAGAAGAGGATTGGGAGAATGTCATATGAAACCAAAATAGAACTTTTTGGTAAAAACTCGTGTTTGGAGGAGAAAGAATGCTGAGTTGCATCCAAAGAACACCATACTGTGAAACATGGGGGTGGAAACATCATGCTTTGGGGCTGTTTTTCTGCAAAGGGACCAGGACGACTGATCCGTGTAAAGGAAAGAATGAATGGGGCCATGTATCGTGAGATTTTGAGTGACAACCTCCTTCCATCAGCAAGGGCATTGAAGATGAAACGTGGCTGGGTCTTTCAGCATGACAATGATCCCAAACACACCGCCCGGGCAACGAAGGAGTGGCTTCGTAAGAAGCAATTCAAGGTCCTGGAGTGGCCTAGCCAGTCTCCAGATCTCAACCCCATAGAAAATCTTTGGAGGGAGTTGAAAGTCTGTGTTGCCCAGCGACAGCCCCAAAACATCACTGCTCTAGAGGAGATCTGCATGGAGGAATGGGCCAAAATACCAGCAACAGTGTGTGAAAACCTTGTGAAGACTTACAGAAAACGTTTAACCTCTGTCATCGCCAACAAAGGGTATATAACAAAGTATTGAGATTAACTTTTGTTATTGACCAAATACTTATTTCCCACCATAATTTGCAAATAAATTCTTTTTTTTTCTTTTTTGTTTTGTCTCCCATAGTTGAGGTATACCTAGGATGAAAATTACAGGCCTCTCTCATCTTTTTAAGTGGGAGAACTTGCACAATTGGTGGCTGACTAAATACTTTTTTGCCCCACTGTAAATATTTTCAGAAATTAGTTATTACATTTAAAATCATTGCCAATTATGTATTAAAGAAATTATGAACATATGTTTAAATACATTATTAAATGCATTATTTTAAATATACTGATACTGAGAAAATCAATTTAACTAAACTGGTGGATTACATAACCCAAATATAAACAATATAACTTATAACACGGTGGCACTGCGTAAAAAATGCCATATTAACCAATTAGCGCTGTCAAATATCACATATACAAACTAAATGCTCACCTACATAAGTCTAACTTGACCTTGTTTTTAAAATGATATAAATCAATAAAAAAATGCTGAAATATTTGATTTGATTTTTAATAAAACTTTGCATTCAAATGTAATGGAACACTCCCTTCTCCTGCAGTTCCATCATCAACATCCCTGGCGAGTCCACACTGCGGCGGGACTTCCTGCGCCTGCAGCTCGCCAACAAGGAGCGCTCGGAGCTGATCCGGCGGCAGCAGCTGGAGCAGCAGCAGAACGAGGAGCACAAGCGTCAACTGTTGGCCGAAAGGCAGAAACGCATCGAGGAGCAGAAGGAGCAGAGGCGGCGGCTGGAGGAGGTAACGTCCATTGGTGCTCTCCGTAGAAGAGATCCAACTTCCTATATATCTTTTGCAATAAAAGTCTTGTAGTGGTTTGAGATGAGAGAATCAGAAGACAATAATATTTATGTCTAACTGTTATATGAAACCAACATTACTTGGAGAGACACAACTTGAATGTGATAAGCCTCATAATAGTACAGTTCTACTGTACATAGTCACCTGCATGAGCATATATTATTGGTTTATGGTGACAACTCCATAATGTGCAAAAAAGCCTCATTGCTCAAGGCTGACGATGTTTTCACCTTTGAAAAACATCTCAGTTTGATTATTAAATGACTCGTTTCCATGCAAAACCTCCACACCTGTGATGTTAGCACCTCAGCATATCCAAATGCCAGAGAAACACACCTGATATGCTCACAAAAACACAGACACACACTCACACACTCTTCTCCACCTGCAGCAACAGCGTAGGGAGCGGGACATGAGGAAGCAGCAGGAGCGCGAGCAGAGGAGGAGGTACGAGGAGATGGAGCAGCTCCGGAGAGAGGAGGAGAGAAGGCACTCGGAGAGAGAGCAGGTGGGGACACAAACACACACACACACACGCACACACACAGACCACACACACACATACACAGAGGTTACATCACAGGTGTCATCCGGAGAGGCGGGGCTTCTCAACTCTACTTCTCACTTTTACCCAACTTCAAATTCTTCTTTCTTTTCCTTTTTTTGTTTATACTTTTGTTTGTTTTTTAAAATAGAACAAGTGAGGACTGGGACAATACAGTCAAACCAGTGAATAAGAAAATACAAATAAAAAGACAGATACAGTGCTCAATGTATATAAAAGATGTCCAACAATAAAAATAAGACATTGTTAAGATGTTAAGATTGTTAATCCTTTTTTTCCCAATATTTATTCCCCTTCTCCTTTTGGATTCGGAGAGTAACGTTATGTTATCCATTGAGTGGAGAAAGCTGATTAGGTTAACAATAAGAGCAATGGAGGCAGAGTTCCTCTTTTGTAAACATTCGTTTTTTTACTTTCAGTAATAATAACCCGAAAAAGTGATTTATCTCTTTTATTGAGACCTTAAGGGAATTTTCCAAGGTACAATAAGGTCAAAGATAATCAGATTTAAGGGGTTCAATCTATGAGAATAAATGTTTCACTCCTTTCTAGAAAAACCTTAGACCGGTGGTAACTTAATGTCTTTTGTACAAAACTTCCACTGTGTGATAACCTTAGTGTTTGCTTGGTTTTTGGTCTGTGTTACAAGCAGTCATTTATCCATTTAACATTTTATCAGTAGCTCATCGTCCATTAATAACTGTGTCAATGGGTTAAAACGCTGCATGTAGTGCCTTTTTCAAACCATCAAATTAACAAAGCAAACATTTAAAAACATATTTATATTAAATGATTACCATTACACAGATATATTCCATATGGTTAATATCTATAACTTCTCAGTCGATCAATATTTCTTTTAGTTTTGAAAACTATTGCCATTTATTGATTACCAAAACAAAATACCGTTTTGGGTAGAGTCAAGTTTTCTCAATCAATTTGAAAACGTATAGATCAACATTCGATCTTATAATTAAAGAGAACGAAATGGAGGAAGATTTCAAATGTTACAGTAAAAGAGGGGAAGCTTTTCTAAAGACTGCATGACTAATAATGAACTTCTCCTGCAGTACAACGCTCCCTTTACGCTCTACCTTTTCAGGCATAGTTTTCAGGATTTCATGCTGATCTTTAACCGTACGCATGTCTCTGCTCCACTAATTACACCCCCTGCTGCTTCTCTCTTTATCCCTAAATCCCTACTTTCACACCTCCTCAATAAATCTACTTTCCTCCTCTTTCTTCTTCTTCTTCTTTTTCTTCTTCTTCTTCTTCTTCTTCTCCTCCTGTTTCCTTCTCTGCTGATGTCACTGGTTGCCTGGGCTCCGATTTGCTTCCTGTCTGCCCTGGTGCTCTCTGATTGGCTGCGTTACTCTCTGCTCACGGCTGCTGATTGGTTAGGAGTATATCCGTAGGCAGCTGGAGGAAGAACAGAGGCAGCTGGAGATCCTGCAGCAGCAGCTCCTGCAAGAGCAGGCCTTACTGCTGGTAACACACACACACACACACACACACACACACACACACACGCACACACATACACGCACACACATACACACTCTCACACACACACACACACACACACACACACACACACACACACACACACACACACGCTGGGGACTTTTAAGCAGGACACAAACACTTTTTTAAAAATCACATTTTTGCAATACTGTTAACACACATAATGAAACATGTAAAAAACTAAAATAGTTGATATAGGTATCTGGACTTAGAAGAAGTGGTGAGTGCCGGCTCCAAGTTTGTTATTTACACACAAAAAACCTAAAAGGCAGATACTCGATCAATACTGAGATGAGACAGAATCAAATGTCAACTCCAGAAAAATAGTTAACAAACATCAAATCAATAGAAACACACAGCGGAGGGAGTGTTTGTCGATAGCTGTCTTTTGTGAAATTACACTTTATTCAGCTTCATTGTTCACGATGATGTTTGCATCCTTTTTCCATTACGGAAAACAAGACAGCAGGGACAGTGCGGTGTAATAGCAGTGTAATAACAACTCAGAGCCTTTATGGCAGTCATTTTTATTACATACCCAGTCATTTTTATTGGTCTGCTATAAATGAAATGGAGCCTTCTGTCATACCACAGCCTAAACCGTTTTGTTCCAGAATGTTTCCCGCAGTAATTGATTTTGCCATGGCTTTATCAATTACTTAATATTTAAAGGTAGTTACGTTTCTGCACCACTGAACAAATGATTGAAGTTGTGACAGTTGCTCCATTTTAGAATGAATGATAATAAATACAAATGAAAATAAAAGTAAGAATTTACAATAAAAAGATACAATTAAATAATGATCAAACATGGACGTTAAAGTAAAATGTCCAATTAATGATGAAATAAAATGAAGCAGAAAAATCATTTAAATAAATATAAGAAGTTAAAGTAAAAACGTGCACAAGACTTTAGTCACTCTGATGTAATGATACATGAGACGGTGTCCTGATATCTTTGGACTAGATACTGTAATATTAACCTTTAAGGGAAATGTGAAAGACATTCTAACTAATGTTTCTCAGGCAGTATTTAAGATGTAGTGTTTTATTTAAGACTTCTGAATTTGAGAATCCAGAAAACCCCCCCTTTAACCTCATCACTCTCCTCTCCTGTGTTTGCTTTGCAGGAGTACAAGAGGAAGCAGATCGAGGAGCAGCGTCAGGCGGAGCGCCTGCAGAGGCAGCTGCAGCAGGAGCGAGCGTACCTGGTGTCTCTGCAGCAGCAGCAGGAACCCCCCCCGGCCCCCCCAGGACAAGAAGCAGCTATACCACTACAAAGACCAGGCCCCCGGCACCAACGACAAGCCGGCCTGGGCTACGGAGGTAAAATGCATGGCCCACACTCTCTGCAGTTATTTTACACTCTGAACCTTTGCAAACATAAGACAGTTTGCGTGTAGGAACAAATGCACCCATTACACAATAGACAATAAATTAAAAATACACTTAAGTGCAAACAGCTCAGCCCCAATGACAAAGTCTGTGGTAAAACATTCATTAACACTATACACACCATGATGATTGCTGGAGGCCTGCGGAGCTCCCTGCAGGTTAACACTGTTTGTTGATGTCTTCTCGTTTGAG